AATGTGACCAAAGCTTTCACAGCCTTTTCCAAGGATTAGTGGCTGCTCCCCTCCCAGCTTGCCAACGTGAGACTCACAAACGTTCTCTTGTTGTGTTACAAGAAGGAAATCTTTAGCTGAAAAAAAAGCAGACTCCTCTTGTTAGCAAAAATCTTGGCTTTGAAAAAATCAAATCTACTAAGTTAAATATTAGATGATTCGATGCGTGCATTAGGACAAGATCTTTCTATAAATTCAATCAGAATATAACATTTTTGATACTCTGATAGGCCTTTGATAATACACTAGCTATTGAAGGCAAAAACGTTAACAGGTGTAATTTTTTATCTCGTTACATATTTGTATCAGCGAAGTGCGTCGCATCCATATATATGCGTGTTTTTCGTTCAACCTTCGATAACTAGCTTCAGCTTCATGCTCGCGGTAAGATTTTCCGCTGTACAATTTGCGTTAGCTGAACGGTAAACCTCAATTTCACCACCGTATGGAGCAGCAAAGAGACGTTCTATATAAAAATTCAGAAATAAGTTTTTGTGATTTTGAATGAAGCCAATTCTGCACAAAGCACATATGAGGACAGAAAAAAAATAGTATTATTAACACATTTGTCGTACAGCTACAAAATTTTCAATTAAAAAAAAATTCTCTCATTATTCGCTAAAAAATCAGCATTTGTTTATGTTGATCAATGAGATTTCGCTAGATACCATTTGTCAATCTTGCTAGTATTCTATCATTATTTTTTATACTACTGTCTACATGGATGAGATCTACGATAGTAATTCACAACCTAGGAAATAGTGCCATACCTTCGCCCTTTTGCTTAATCTCAGTAAAGTTAACGCATGTATCCTTTTCCCAAGCCTCTCTTGCATAATTGAACTCCTTCTTCAAGTTGTCGCCTGTAAGGTCGGGAGTCACTCTCTAGATTAGAATATACAAAAGCAAATCAGCTTCTTACTAGTATAAAATGGATCAAAGTAGAAATAGACCGTTTTCCCCCAAATATCGTGCTTAGGACGTGCTCTGGCTGCCTGGCGCTTTTCGCGGCGAAAAATTGTGGTCATTTG